GGTTGGAGCATCGGCCCACACCAAAATGTTGCAGGTTTAATCCCCGGTCAAGGCACATACCTAAATTGTGGGTTTGATCCCCAGTACTGGAGGCAACCAACCAACGTTTCGGTCTCACTCCAATGTTTTTCGCACCCTGCCTGTCCCCCACCCCCTGCCATCCTCTGTCTCTAAAATCAAAATATATGTGCTTGGGTGAGGATTTAAAAAAAAAACAAGTGAATCCTTGTATGGGAAAACGAGGGGTCTGCAAACTGCTTCTGTAAAGGGCCTGATAGTAAATATTTTTCGCTTTGCAGGCCAAGCTGTCTCTCAGCTTCTCAACTCTGTCACTGTAACCTGAGAGCAGATAACTTGTAAACAAAAGTTCCAATAAAAACTTATTTACAAAAAGAGGCAGAGGGCTGAATCTGGCTTGAGGACAGTAATTTGCTTTGCACTAAACTCTAAGTTCCAGGTGGGCAAGGACATGTCTGATTTAACACTTATCCAAAGACTGGTGCCCCCAAAATACCAAGCCTGGTATTCAAAACAAATTTTTTTTTAATGACTGGGCAAGTAAATTATCAATGTCACATCAATGCACAGATTATCCCAGTTTAAATTTGAAAAAAACTAGTAAGCCTTATTCAACATGCTCTCTTTTTGGCTTGTTGATTGATTTTCCTTAAAATTGCAAAAAATTTATCTACTGATAAAATCTCACACTTTGGGTATACCAGAAAGAATACATTCACAACCTGGATTCTTGGGCAGTAGAGTTCTCTAAACAGCTAGAAGGAATAAGGACAAAGAAAATTTTCTTAGGAGCAAAGCTGGTATTTCCGTACCCCATCCAGGTCTGCATACCTCACTGGCTTTACTCCCCTGGGACTGTGCAGGAGGTAAGGCTGTCGTCTGGTAAAGGAGGGGCTTAAAACGATATTTCTTCCCTGCCTTTATGGTCTCTGCAGCTTCCAGGCATGTTGTACCTGGGATGTGGCTCCTACTAGGAGAGGAACAAGATAAAAGATAAAAACATCAGACGTGTCAGGAAACTACAATGGCCAGGAAGTCTTCCAGTGAGTTTGATGCCTTGTCTCAGCTCAGCCCTGCACCCTGCTGTTCACCCAGCCCACCCAACAGCACTTTCAATATGCCTGGTCTCCCATGGCTCGGCCTACCTTTGTACCCACTCAAACGTGCGTTAACTTCCTACAACAAAATCCCATTTCACTGTCTGGACCAGATCTTCAACCCTAACTGTGTATGGAATCACGTGGAGAGCAAAACAAAACAAAAATTTGATACCTGGACCCATCCCCAGACCAAAAGAACTAGAATCTCTTGGGTGGGGACAGCAGGTATCAATATTTTTAAAAATCTCCCCCTTCCCTCACCACGGTAATTTTAATGTGGATCCAGGATTGAGACACAACTGGTCCTGATATTTTACATCAAAGTTATCTGATGAGCTTTTATAAAAATATAGATTTTAAACCTAATAAATAAGAGTCTAAGGGGGTGCTTGGCCTGAGATTCTCTGCTTTTCTCTGCCTTGTCTTTCTTGCTTGGCTCCCTCTATATAAACCTGAACGACCTGGACCATCAGCCCAAGCCTTCATGTAGCCAGAGCCTGCCATTACTAGGAAATAGAATCTCTTAGTGCAAATTCTTAAGAATCTGACTGACTTAACCCAACTTAAAATTTGTTACTCTTAGCAGAGCCTGCTAAAACCTTGACCTTTACCTTGTCAACAAGCCCATTGACTACATTCCTAGTTTCCCATGAATCTCGGTGTAGTCCTGAGGCTAAATCCTATGCAATGAGGTATAAGCAAATGTGCTATATGAGTATTCTGGAGAGTTTCCTTCGGGGTAGATGCAATGATGTGATGGCTGGAGCTCCCACTGCCTTCTTGGAGCCATGAGCATAAGAGCCACATCCTTGGGAGAGCAGAATGTGAGAGGGAACAGCCCAGGTCACTGATGAAGACCTGATATCAGTCTTGGACTGCTTACATCTTTCATGTGAGACAAAAATACATGCCCATTTCTTAAAAACCTCACCCAAGGATATGTTTATTGATGTGAGAGAGAGGAAAAGCATCAACCGGTTGCCTCCCATATGCACCACAACTGGGGATCTAACCCACAACTCAGGTATGTGCCCTTACTGGGGATCAAACCTGAAACTTTTTGATATGTAGAGTGATGCTCCAACCCACTGAGCCACCCGGCCAGGACCATGCCCATTTTTTAAAGCAACTATTTGTGGGTAAGTTTCTGTTGAAACTTAACTAAAACCTAACTGATTTTCCTGTCATCCAATAAGCTGTGACCAGAGAAGCAGGGCAAGGAGATACTGACCAGGTAATAAATCTCTAGGTCAGAGCAGATTTCCCATGGAAGGGGGCCTGGGCAGAGTAGGCAAACCATAGGGCGTATCCACCAAAATCCCTGAATTCCACTGCCAGACAACTTGGGTCTGTAGAGAAGGGGGAATGCTAGAATGCATGAAAAATTTTGGCATGGGCTGCTATCATAGAACATGCACCAGGGTAAAATTACAGTTCAAGGGAAATGGGTTCTGGGTGGTGGAATTGTGGATAACGTGGCTGCAGGCCAGATCGGCAGGTGCCCTGAGCAGATGGAAGTCAGTTGTTCTGCTAATAATTGAAGAAACATTGGTTACATTTTTTTCAGAGATATGGTTAACTCATTTCCTTCGGCTGCTTAGGGCTGTGATTTATAGGCGGCAAAACCACTTGGGATAATAAAGCCCCCAGGCCTCATGGCAAACTGCTGAGATTTTTCAAGAAGAAAGGGACCATTTGAACATCTCAATCAGCTTTTCCTGAGTGAATGATACCCAGAGAAAACGGGTTTTCAGTGTGTCTCCATCATTCACAACCCCAAGAAGAAAGATGAGAGGAATCAAGAAAAACTGCTATACTATGATAAAAAAAAAAAATGAAGTGTTACATTCATTTCAAGTATCTGCCATGCTTTGAGAGCGCTGGAGCAGGCGTCCTGGAACTGCAGCTCCCCGCGGACACGGGTCCCGCCAGTGTTTTTTCCCCTTTTTTCTCTAAAAGCTCTTAATGGGTTAAGAAAAATCGGTTCAATTATCAATTAGGGTGAATAGTCTGTTCAATAATAATAGGAAGACTATAGTATATATAATTTTTATTTTATTTTTATTTTTATTATATTTTATTGATTATACTATTACATTTGTCCCAATTTCCCCTCTTTACCCCCCTTCACCCAGCACCCCCCACTCCCTCAGGCAACCCCCCAACCGTTGTTCATGTTCAGGGGTCAGGCGTATGAGTTCTTTGGCCACTCCATTTCCTTTACTGCACTGTGCATTCCTGTAGCTATTCTGTAACTATCAATTTGTACTTCTTAATCCCCTCACCTCCTCACCCATTCCCCCACCCCCTGCTCCCATCTGGCGACCATCAAAACACTCTCCATATTCATGACTTTGTCCCTGTTTTTCTTGTTTGCTTTAGTTTGGTTTTTAGATTCAATCATTGATAAATACGTATTTTTGCCACTTTATTGTTCATAGTTTTGATCTTCTTTTTCTTAAATAAGTCCCTTTGACATTTCATGAAATAATGGTTTAGTGATGATGAACTCCTTTAGTTTTTTTTGTTTTGTTTTGTTTTTGGGTCTGGGAAGCTCTTTATCACCCCTTTGGTTCTAAATGATAACTTTGCTGGGTACCTGCTATCCAGCCATGTCCTACTGGGCGATGGTCTTTCGGTTCAGCTTCTTTTCTTCCTAAGAAAATAAACCCTACAAGTATGCGCGTACCCTCTGCCTGCTGAAGGAGCACTGTGCCTGCAAGGCCGGTGCTGGCAGAGCTGCCACGCCGCTCTGGGTCACAGGAGCAGCAGGTCTGAGCTCAGCCACAAACATTAGACACTGTGTCAAACACAAGGACTTAAGAAAGAAATCAGTTGTTCTCCATGTTCAGAAAAAAAGAATGCAATGGTCTGTAATAGAAAACAAGGGAAAAAAAAATACCCATCAATGTAGTCCATTTTCAGGCTTTAGCACAGACCACCAAAGACCTCACTCAACTTAGACAGACAGGAAATCTTTGTTGGAGGGAGGGGGCCAACTGAAGGAGGAAAGCAAGGGCTATTTATTCAGAACTTGTTATAGCAAAGGAGTCAGCCACCGTCACTTCAAGGCAGGCAGAGGAGCTGGAAGCTTTATAGTGAAAAGCAAGGGGACTTCAGGAGCACCCTGAAGGGAGGCTGTCATGCCGGGGAAGCTGCGGGCGGGCTAACCAGGACCATGGTGTCCTGGGTGATTGGGTAGGAGAGCGTACTGAGCTTTTTCCAGTTGATCCTACATTAGAAACAGGACAAAAATTAGGTGACCTGTCAGTTGTTAACCAAGCCCTTCGCCATTTGGGGCCAGTTGTTTCAGAAATGATTGTTTAGCTTTCTGGGTTGTTACTAGAGATAGCAGCCTGGCTGCCTGCAGATCTGACCTAGCGCAGGCTGACTCCTAGCGCTGGATATTATAAATAAGGTTTGGTTTACTGGACAGGTTGCTGCAACCTGTGGGTCTGCGTTCTAATTTTACATATGGTCTGGTCGTTGTCTGTTTGTATATTGTCTCTTATCTTTCAGACAAAAACAGATAGCAGTCTGCAGGCAGCTGACCTACAGCCAGCAAGGTGATTCTCAGCATTTCTAGAGACTCGCTTAGGGAGACAGTTAATTCCTCTTGGCCTCCTTGACCGGAAGTGCCTAAGGACATCTCTGCTGATGTGAGCACATCCCCGAAACAATGTCCCAAGAGGGCGAGAAAGGATGGAAAGGCCAGTGGCTGTGGTAGCAGTGGGGCCCTGCGAGGAGACAAGAAACAGCACTCAGGGATTCTCAGCCCTGGATGTCGATTAGAACCCCATGGACGATTTTGAGCAAATACTGATACGATGGCCCCACCCACCAAAACAGGGCTGGGCATCAATATTTTCCCAAAACTTCCCAAGTGATTCTGAGGCGCAGCCTGGCTTGGCAGCGACTGACCCAAACCGTTGAGACACTGGGAGCCAACACTGAGCCATCGGTGAAAGTTAAACAGGGCTCCAGCCACGACTGCTTTCTCCAGAAGCCTCCGATCGTTCAGTCTCATAACGGTGGGCATCAGAAATGTGAAACGCACGGTGAAACCGAACTCTGAGAGTAGCATGTAGATAGTGCCACAGAGTGTGAGCCTGCCTACACAATACGAAAAAGGCAGCGGCATAGAACGAAATTGTGGACCAAAGCGACAAATTCAAAACACTTCAAACCACCATGAAACTGATTGAAAGATTACCTATTCTGAGCAGCATTCTTCATTTTTATTTTTACCATTAAAAATGTATTTCCCAGATTTAAAATGTTTTATCATAACATGTTATTTCTGACAGATTTCAGGTAATAAGAGTGCATGTAGTGTGTCTGTGTGCACTTTCAAACTAAGCTTGTACATTTATTTGTCAACTGCTTTACCCAGAATTTAGAACAATAGGCATTTGGGGCATATGAACTCGAAGGAATCACAGATTCACTCAACACACCTAGTATCCAGTTTCTATTTCTAGTCATTTCTAAATTTTCAAATTTACCAATTTATCTGAATTTGATACAATACCGCCCCCTGGTGGAAATCTATAAAAAAACCCACACTCGAATGTTTCTCGCCCCCCCTCACCCAGTCCCCCGCCTTTTTTTCCCTCTCCCAGCAGAATTTTCTCTCTGAACAAAATTAGATGCAAAAGCTCAATGAACAAAACAGTAAAAATAGAGCTGTCCTAGGGGCTTTCTCTTTCCCGTATTGTCAACCCCACATCTCCATCAGAATATCTAAAATAGAATTCATCTCTAAAACATATGCCATATCCCCCCAAAAAATTAAAATTAAATTTAAAATTACCTCTTTTCCTCTAAACCATCTTTATTTCAATAAATAGCACCTCCTTTACCATTCACTCAAGCCAAAACCCTCTGGAAGATTCACAATACACATGAATTGGATAAAAGGTTCTAAGTAGGCCCAAGTCAAGAAACAGGGTAGATATATTTAACTCAGCAATCCCCCAACTCATTTTATCATGAGATGCATTCCCCCTCCTCCACAGTACTTTTTAACAACTTGCAGAAAACTCTGGTTATTTTTCATTCAGAATGATTGTTCCAGCTTAATTAGCAAATTAGCTCTTTGGCTGCACATGCTCTTCAATCTTCAAAAATGCTTCGGCACAGCCAGCCATACACCGAGCCAATGCCAAGTGTGACCCTCAGAGGACTGTTGACCCCAGACAGCTATTGAGTTGAGGTCAAGTCCACAGGTAGCTCCCTCTGTGTCTTCTACCAGGAATACTGGGAATTCTTTTGGCAGGAGTCGTGCTTTGTCTTCCATTAAATGTAATAAACTTGTATGGCATGATCGCTCTGTAATTTTATTTACAGGGATTATAATGTTCATTCGACTGTAGCCTGTGAGCATCACAGGCAGCTCGGTAACTGACAGTGAGTTCCCTGATTTCCATACATTATCTCCCCCTGTGGATTTATGAGCCAAACTGTCAAAATCCCAAAAGCTTCCAGAATCCGTGTAAATTAGCATAGGTCCTTGGACACCAGATCTAAAAGTAACCTTTTTTAATCAAAATCTCCATTTTTAACAAAAATAGAGCTTTATGTCCCATGTGATTAGTACTAGATGTAAGTCTAGTACCAGGTTAGTATCACATTAGATTAGGGCTGGTCCTAAATCTACTCATACACATTGTATCATTTCTAATTTTGATATGAAATTATATTTTGATCAATAGCCTCCTGGACTATTTGCTCTCATTTCATGTCACTTATAGCCTTGACTTGAGAGGGGGGGTCCTGAGGGCTTGAACACACTCACTCAGCAGCTGGGCAGCCTCCAGAGCAGCGCCCCAGTGCACAGAGAAGCCCCCGCTCCCATGGCCATAGTGGTGGACCACAGGCAGCCTCCGGCCATCCCGGGCTAGAAGCTCTGTCTGCAGCCGAACGCCTGCCCTGTAGGGCCTCAAGCCCACCTTCTCCCGTATGTCCCAGGCTCCCCGGAGGGAGGGCTCCAGAGCACAGCATCGGGAAAGAATATCTCTGCTAATTTCTGCATCCGCGGACAGATTCCAGTCTCCCTTTTGCCTACTCCCACCCAAGGTTACGTTGGATGCACCAGGGTAAATATAAGTCAGCCCACTCCCATCTCGGATAAAATGCTTCACCCAGGGAGCCTGCACTTTGAGTAGTTGGCCCCTCACAGGGAAAACCTTCAAATCTCCCGCAAGCTGTCTGCTTCCAAGGCCTGAACAGTTGACCACAACGTCGAAGGATGGGTGGAGCTCCCACAGGTCTTCTATTCGCTGGGTGAGTATCAGGCCCCCGCTTTCTTTCACCCTGGGGAGAACAAGAGACCAGGAGGTGAGCTTTAGCAGCAGCTTCCTGCTCCACCTCTTAACAGGAAGTGCCCAAGGGGGTCAAATTCTAGCTATCGACTGCTTCACATCCTTGGAAACTGGGGATTGCTAAAGCTGAACCTAAATAAAAACCTATTTCAAAAATTCAAAGCCAGGGAAATTATAAGCAGGGTGGGGTAAAAGCAGGTTGTCAGTTGTGAGTACACAAAACACAGAATTTATTCTTGCATTATTATTTATTAATTGTATTATTTTCCATAAGAACAACTGTGCACGTACTTTTGCGCTCCCCCGTACCGGCCCCCGGACTTTGTGTTTAGTAGGAGTTTTATATCATTTTAGATGCTAAATAAATACGAAGTTAATCTGGTATTTTAAATACCCATGTATTTCTTTTTTTATGTCATTTATTTAGCACCTTAATTAACTGCTTTGGACTTTTTGTCTCATAATGTTAACTCTTGCATGTTTCTTTGTATTAGCCTGGTCTCCCTAACTAGATGGTTGGTACAGGAGCTACGTGTCCCTCCGCTTATGTCTACCAGAGCGATGTTAACATGAGAGACTAATATTTAAGCATTATGTTCTGTGTTCTAGTCATCCCAGTTAGAACTCAGAATTATCCTTCTAATTCAGCAAAATAAGGGAATTTACCAGTCTTGGAATTTGAGCAAATGACTTAAACTCGCTGAAATTATTTCCTCAACTATATAGCCTAGGGACAAGAGTGCTGAGTTCACAGGGTTTTATTTTTAATGACAATTATGTAAAAATTCAATAAATATCAATGTCCTTTTCCATTTCGAGGGCACCTTGCTGCTTGAGCTATTGATGAAAGTCCGCCCTTTACCTGGACCCTTCTTCAATTACCGCAGCAGGCGGGTTGTTGGAAAGCCCTGTCAGGCTTGCTGTGCTGGGGCCCTCCCAGGTCTCTGACCCCAGGAGGAAACTGATGGAATGTTTCCAGGGACCAGCCCCCTGCTTTATGACCATGCAGTGATACTCAGTCATTATCGTATATCCCATGGCCTACGCATTAAGATAGTGCAAAAATGTAGGAGGAAAGTACCTGGAAGCTGGATGTTAAATTAGGTGACCAGGCATCTACAAAGCTGTCTTTATGACCAAATGGAGTGGTTATTCTGGCGGTTTTGAGTGACAAGGTTGGGGGGATAAAAGCTTGATGATTTTGTTCTTGGGGCTTCCTGCAACTGAGCAAGACCTCACCCTGGACCAGGAGAATAATACCATTGCCCCAACTACCGGTGAGGAAATGGGGGACGGCTGGACCCAAGCTATGCTCACTATGCCCACCCCGGTGTCCTCTGATCATCACCCTGAAACCCAAAAGTGTCCCTTTTTACCAAGAGTAAAAGCCAACCATCGGGTGGACCACATCAGCGGGACCCATAAACAGGGGGAATGATTATCTTCACTGCCCTTCCTTCCACTGCCTGGGGGTTCCCTTGTTTACACACACACACACACACACACACACACACACACACACACATTGTGCACCTCCCAGGACCAAGGGAGAGTCCCTTTTTCCCTTCCCTTCTTTTGGGACTAGAGGCGATTCCTGCACCCCACCTGCCACCCTTTGCCACAGCCCCTGCTGCTGAGAGAGGAACCCTGGGCAGCACTAAACGTGTGCATGGGGGTTCAGGTGTGGGGCCCATGGAGGAGAAGTGCAGGTGACAGGCAGGTCGCTGGTGAGCTCCAGTACAAAGGGATGGGGCTGCCTGCCAGCAGCACCAGGCAGGGGGCTGCAGGAAGGAGGCAGGACCTTGGAGCGGGAGGCCAGGGCAGGAAGGGAGTTGGCCGAGCAGGGATGGAGCGAGGGGTGCAGCAGAGCCAGGGGACCGCCTGGAATCCACCCGCATGTACCTGGAATTTGCCACTGACACTTAGACCTTAATCATTTTTGAAATCTATGAAGTAGAAACTGAGAAGAAGATTCTTTTTGTCATTTAAATTTCCTAAGCATTTCCCATCTTGCCAAAGATAGACATTTTAACACTCCTCTGTTAACATTTTAACAGCTTGTACCTTTATTTTGGGAATATTATCCAAATAGGTTTCTGAGTTATGCAAATAAAAGGAAACTCTCTTCCAAGGATTTAAGGCCACTTTGGGGTGAGAAGTCACAATATCGGCTGTGTGAAGGCCAGATGCTTCTCCATAGACCAGATCGCCTGTGGCAAATCTGTGTCTAGGCCAAGGAGGGTGGAGGAAGGAGGTGGTGGTACAGCGTCCATTCCCCCTCTGGCTCCTTAGACTGCAGGAACCCTCTCTGTTAGAAGGGGAGGGCCAGAGCCTACGAAGACTGATTGTAAGAGAGCGGGCGAGACGCAGGCCTGTGCAGGACCGGAGCCCGGGGGCCAGAGCTGGGACAGTCCCTGACCTCTGCACAGAGCCCGGGGCCTGTGGCTGCTGAGGCGGGATCCAGAGTTTAAAGTTGGTGAAGATGAAAAACAAAACCAGCACTGAGTTTGGAGTCACTATCTGAGGATAACCTGGAGAAGAAAGAAAGAGTGAAGAGCTAGAAAGCCATTGCTAAGTAAATGGAGGGATACAAAGACAGCCAGAGAGGACGGCGGTCAAGGACCAGAGGGGAGGGCCGGCTCCAGACATGTTCTGTATTATGTATGTATTAATACATGCAGTCAGTTACAAAACTTCATCCTTGCTTCAAGCTTGAAGCATGACACCTCAACAGCGGTCAGGCTATCTGTCTGAAAATGAGGGGGAAAACGGAAATTAATTAAAAAATCTCAGTTGGCACACAGTACTATACATATTGCTTCACAGGAAAAAAAAAATGCACTGTTTCTTCATAGCCTAGTTTCTTCATAGCATAGCATAGACACCTAATGGAGCTATACCTAAAATAGCTCATGATAGTTAAAAGTATACATAAGAATATTTTGCATGTGTAGGAATGTAAACAATTTGTACTTAGAGGACCGGTGATGGTGTTTTAAAAATATATCCAAAAATTCTTTGAAACTTTGCCCTTCAAGGCTGCAGCTTAATTCCCATCCCTTTGAATGCGGGTAGTCACTTGCTTCTAATGAATATATGTATTCATTAAAAATATTTTTATTATTATTTTGCAACACATGATTCTGGATTTTCTTCTGCTATGAAGCATGTTATTGACTCAATTGGAAAAATCGGAGTAAAGGTCTTAGATTTCAGAAATGTGCCCATGTTGATTTAATGCCCTTATTCTGATTACTTGACCTTGGTTATAAGAGAATGTGTTGGGTTTGAGAAATACATATTCATTATTTGGGATAACAGGGCATTATATCTACAGCTTACTCTCAAATAGTTTAGAAAAAGATGTACATTTAAAGACAAAAGGATAAACATATATGATAAGTTTAAGATTTGGGGAATCTAGGTAAAAGAACTTCTTGCATTTGATATACAGTCTAATTTTGCCCTAAAAATATTTTCTCATCTGATGCCCCTATTCCTCACTCGCTCTCTTCCAATGCATATGCTGATAAAATCAAATGCATTCTCTTTTCCACTTCCCAGAGTCTCCATCCCTGCCTTGGCTGCTCCACAGACAGGTAGGAATCACTGTAAGCCCTGTTCAGGCACGGAGCAGCCTCTGGTGTCTTTGGGAAGGGCATGTGGATGAGGCCCCGGGGTTTTGACCGGCAGGGCAGAGAACAGCCACGCACCCGCACCCGTAGGGAACAAGCTCACCTCTGCCGCTACCTTAGCGTTAGCGTAGCTAGAGAAGCCCCAGTGGAAACCCCAGAGCCACGGAAGCCCCCGAGGCTCTCGCAGACCCTCCACAGCTTCCATCTATTCCCTACTAAACCGTGTTGCTGTCATCAGGAAAAAAAACAAACCACCATCATTTTCCAGCCTCTTGGCTTGTCCCCTCCTACTTCATCCTTGCATAGCCAGGGAGAAAGGGCAGAGCTCACATTAGACGTGGGTCTGGGACCATCTTTTGCCCGTTGCCCCGCTGGTTAGGGGCTGGGGGCAGGTGATGAAGTGGGGGGATCCCTAAAGATGCTGGGAAAGGAAAGCTGTGCTCTAGCAGGCATGTCATGTGTGGAGTGCGGGGGAGCAGAGGGGAGCTGCGCCCAGGGAGGGAGCTTTGCAAGTCAGACATTTATAAGGCAGGGACAACCTGTCACATTCCTGATGTAGAATCTGCGATTCAGTGCAACTGCTGAGGGAACTCCAGGAGTTTCTTTCACAGACACCCAACTGCTGAGAGTCGGGCCAAGGGGGAGAACAGAAGCCGGAGGGGAAGGGAGGCAGAGGACTCTCCCAAGGGAAGTAGCAGGGCACTCGCTAGACCAGTGCAGCCCCATGTGCTCAGTGCTGTGGTCCGGGCGGGCCTGATCGGGGCCATAGAATAAGGCACGGACTCTTGAAAAGTAAGCAATGCACTTAAGTTACAGGGACCCCCGGTACAGAAATGGGACACCCAGCTTTCTGGATGTCGTCAAAGGTAGGACAATCCTAGTCTGGCTGGGATGATTTATTTAGTAGGATGCCTGGCAAGGAGACAGACTCAGCTGACCTTTTGCCTCTATGATTCATTTCCTGGAAGGGGCAAGTAGAGAGCAGCAAAACAGGACTCCACTAGCCGAAGACATAAAACATGCTCTGCATGGCTGATTAAACCTCAGGGTTTTTGTTTGTTTGTTATGGATTTTACTGGAGACATGTATTTTGAGAGGGAGATGATCCCTTCTGTTCTTTGAAAACTGATAAAGATCTAACTTGTGGTTAAAAACTTTAAAAAAAAAATGTTCTGGCTTGCTGAGCGAAATGCCTGTTTTTGAGTCCAAACTCTGCAGGCTGAACTTTCACATTGTGTGGAAGGGATGCAGGAGGCAACAAAACAGGCCTGGATGTGAGGAACAAGCAGGAACTGTGTGGCTTCCGGTGGTGGCAGCCCACAGAGGAAGCCCCGGGGGTCCCACACCCTCACCAGGA